TATAATAATTTGCCCGTAAAAATTTTCACTAGCCCGTAGGTGATACCCGAGAGCACGGGAAGGCTGAATTTGAATAGGCAAGGTTGAGCGTGGGCAGGGGGTCATTATCCAAGAATTTCAGCCTCCTTGACTCCGTGGTCTCCGAGATACTAATTTACCTGTAAAAAACTTACGGGACCGTACGTGTTACCCGCAGGTACGGGGAAGCTGAATTTAAATTTGCGGGGTCACACGTGGGTGGGGAACGTTCCCCCAAATTTTTAGCTTCCTAGCTTTTGTGGTTCCCGAGTTGAAAGTTGCTGCACACACATACACACACAAACACACACAGAGACAATCCCGTGACAATATGCGTTTTGTAACGCTGTTACACAGCACAAAACGCATAAAAAGAGATTTGAATATTTAGTGAAGTTATAAAAAAGGTTGTAACTACAACGGAAATAATAAAGAGGAAGTAAATACTAAATTGAAATGTTTCGGTCCCTTAAATCACATACATTCCCATCCAGTGTCGCAACTGGACCCCCTGAAAAATGGCCACACGTGCCATATGTTTTAGTTGGGAAAATGGGTACCGTACAGAGTTAATACACATTATCTTTGGAGCGATCGTTTGTATTGGTTTTAGAATTATATTCTCATTTCCGTCTAATGCCAGCTATTTAACGTTTGCGTCATTTCTGGCTTGTTCTGTAGCTTTTTTTTTCGTTAACAACATTTTTAGTCTTATAAAAATACGCATTTTTTTTCAGCTGAAAATGAATTTTCATGATTCGGACGCAGTTCGAATTCTGGCTCGTACACTGCTTCTCAACGATTTTGATTTGGACGTTGAATTGCCGGCGAATTGTTTGGTACCACGTATACCACAGCGTCTCAATTATATCTTATGGCTTGATGATCTGCTGAAAGCCAATAGTATTTCGGAAAATGCACTCGGCATTGATATTGGTTAGCTTTTTTTTCCCTTCCTTATGAATGGACAACGAATGTTGCTTATTACTGAGAGGCAACAGAGAGACAAAACATGTTGGAAGTAGGCGCAAACTAAAATAATTGGCCAACGCACGGACTGCCCATGCGAAGATGCGTTTTTTGCGTAGTTTCCCCGCAGTTTTTGTAACTACCGGCATCGGTTTTTTCGGCAAATGCTTCTAGCTAAACAAATTAAGACTGGCCACCAGAACTGGCGGGAAACACCCCCTTAAAATTTCAGTTTTCTAGCTTTCCCGGTTCGCGAGTTATCAGCTTACCAGAGAACAATTTTGGTGGGCTCTTACGTTGGTACCACGAGGGTAAGACCGCCCATTTTGCGGATGGGGGCCCGTACGCGCATGTAGATTATGTCCCCAAAGTTTCAGCCCTGTAGCTTTTGCCGGT